TTACTGTAGCCTTTCCTCCTCGAGCTGAAATGAGAAAGGTCATGTATGTTCAGTTTAGGTCCTATGTATGCTGCACAGTACTGCAAATGTTTGGTTTGGGGTGCCATCCTCAGCACTGCTAACACCATCAAAAATGGGAGTGACTAACTCCGTTTCAGACAGGATTCCAATCCAAAGTTCAATAACAAGAGGATTACGCACAATGAAGACATTTTAGAGGTCAATCCTTTCCCAGACCTCCTTCTGCTCCTACCAAATTCCTTGTCCAGAGCTCTAATATAACAAATGGAAAATGGATCAACATCAAAACACAGACAGAAGCAGAAGTTCAAAAGGCTTCACAGCTTATTCTGTTGAGGGAACTCAAAACCTTAATCAATAAAAACATTTTCAGGAGCAGAATGATTAAGAGGGAGCATTTGTTTGGGTTTTTTTAAAGCTGTTAAAAATCAAAAGTTAAGTTCGCTTAACCCAAGAAACAAAGAGGTAAGGGATAGCTTTCTAAATGTATGTCAGCTTACTAAACTGGTCCAAAGTTGCCAGAACTCATCTTGTTTGTAGAAATATTCAGATCAGCAGCATCCTCCCCCAGGGAGGTCTACTTAATCACTTCAGAAACCATTTCTTCCAGAGAACAAAGAGCGATTAGATTACTTAATTAAAGCAGTGATTATCTCCAACCCAAAAGAACAGAACACAGAATCTAAAATAGATAGATTTATCCAGATGCCCTGGTCCTCATTACGCTTTGATTTCAATCAATCACACACACACGTCAAGCAAAGGGCAATAAATTACAACCATGTGTTTGAAGAAATTATCTGCACGATATTGGAAGTGGAGAGCCAAGGCTCTAACTGAATGGTGTAAGATATTAGACTTCCATCTGGGAATAATAACCTACTGAACAAAAACATACCAGGGCATTAGCTTCAGGCAGTGTCCGAGTTAAACCTGGCAGCAGGAGATCAAAATCAAACAGTTGTTTTTTGGGAAAGTGACATGCATTTTGGGAAAACAGATAACCAAGAAATATGCTTGTAGTTTAACATATATAATAGAGGTGGAATTAAAACGTAGCATAATTCCTCTTTAACCCAGAGACATGAATGTGCCTCCAGAAATACAAGGCGGGCAACCCTAAAGATCCGTAAAGGTAGTTTGCATTAAAACTGACCCTCACAGGGAACGACTCAGCACTGCTTAGGAGGCACTGAGGATTCAGCAAAATTTTTCTTCTCGAGCTTTCACAGTTTGAAACAACTCCATGTGATACTACAAGGCTTCTCCAAACTTACTTTCACACTACAGTGTGCTGTCCAGTAAGCTTCTGGGGACAAAACTCAAGCCTAAGACTAGTCACCAGCAAGCAAATCTGAATGGATTATTTCACACAAATTGTTAACAAATGCGTAACAGGCTCTTTGCCTCAAAACACCCACGCTAGCAGGTGCCAGCCCCTTGGGAAATGGCAAATACATGCCGATGACTCACTAAATGTAGGTGGATACTTACCACACCTGATTAGAACAGAAATCTAAAAAGGAATACGGGCCAAATGGGACCGACACATGGAAAAACTGAAGCTGTCTGAAGTCCTGGGAGACGCCCGAGATGAACTTTGTGAGATATTATCACTTAGTGTGCGTAAAACAGGAGATAATCCAGAGGAAGCTTGGACTGTATGCTGAGAGCAGAGTGGGAACAGCACATATTCTCAAAAGTACGTATTTTTCTATAGAAAAAAAACCTCTTCCGCTTCCACTTCGCACTGCTACAACCAGTATAAGATGTATTTTAAAGCTGGGGAGTGAAGCAAGCACCACGCAGAGCAACATCTCAGAAAGAAGTGCTTACCAGGTATTTAGACACACAACATCTTTCTCCGACAGGCAATCCATACTGGCTAGATGACTGCAAGCACAAGATCCAGCAGTGTAGCCCAGCAAGGCTGGAAACAAAGCCACAAACTGCTTTGAAAAACCTAGCAGAAGCCTTCATTACAGGAACAAAATGTCTAACAGCCCAGGAAATTCAAGCACACTGGAGCCTGGTGTTCTCTGTGAATGACTGCTTACATAAGATTATTTTTGTATTAACTGTTACCTCTCTACCATAAAACACAGCATAGCTGTGGTTAGAGGTGTAGTTCAAAAACATTCCCTACCCCGCAGAGAGCGGGACAGAACAGCCTCTTAAGGGACGGCTGAATGAGAACCTGATGTGTCGAATGAGACGCTTCTCTCTCAGCATCATTTTCATCCTCTTACTCTGCAATGCAAGCTGAAAGCCTAACAGCGCAACAACTGCTGCACTTCAACTCGCATTTTCTAAGAAAGAGTTTGTAATGTGAAGTATTGATTAGCTTGGTGTCACGTACGAAGGTCTGTTTGGGCAGACAACCCCACAAGAGTGAACAGGGACAACAAAAATCTCTGCAGATGAATTCAAGGAACTTTTTTCTGCACACCCTACAACATGACCACAGTTACTGGAAGGTGGACCCGGTATAAATCTTCCCCTACAACAGAAACCGTAATTTCCACAAAAGATACGGTACTGAAGACTCCCAGCACGCTACTGATTTTTTTAATACATCAGTGCTTCCAAATGAGCCCGAAATATTTCACAATGCTGGAGAACCTCTGTTGCCACTGGCTCTGGAATTTGAAATGAGACTGATAACTTTGTCCCCGAACCCATGCACTGTGCACTCCTCTCCCAGCACTGCAAGCTGCCAAACCAGAAGGCCAGTGACACCTTTAATCGGCTTCACACGGCTCAGACCCACTTCTGGCTTTACAGTGGGTATGCAGTATTAGCTTCCAGCTCTAGCAGGCCATGGAAATGACATCACTGCAATTGCCATCTTGCTCCCAGAACAGCCTTCCCCACACTTCAGACTCCCACATGCTTCAGCACCTGTTACGCCGGTAATCGTTACAGTCATTCCCAATCTGATATGTTGGCAAGACTGGCAAGCAGCAGTGAGAAAAGCTGGCACTTGTTGCCCCCACCTCATCTTTCCCCCCCTCCAAACTCCAACTAAAAATTAAGCTTCTGCTGTCAAAATACAAAAACCAACTGCCTTATTAAGGGAATGTGGAGTCCAACTATTAGAACAAAAGCATGTTTCTATCCAAATCTCTGTTGTAGGTAAAGTACAAATAATTTCTAATTTCAAGCATGAGGAACCCTTCAAATGCTCAGGTTAAGTTTCCCCATCTTTGCAAATTCTTTCCAAAAATGCCACAATTCTTACACCACTCAACAAAATGTAAGCCTCCCTTCTCCTCTTTTTCTGACACATTTCTGAGATCATAACATGCATCAAAGCGTACTGTGCTGACAGACGCACTTATCTAGGCTGACTACACTGCAAGCCGTAATGCCTCTGTCATCTCTGGCTGATGACACGAGAATGAAGCCTTTGTGAGAAATCCCTCCTGTACCCCCTCTAACAATGTATTCGCCTGTAAAACTTGGAGTGACAAACTGAAACATGAAATTTGATCCAATCTCACCTTTTACTTTCATACAATATATTAAGACTACAGTTATACCACATGCTGAACAGGGTTCAGCAGATTCATCTAAGCCTGACAGCAATCTGTAGCACTTTTTCTTTCCAGCAAATGAAACCCTTTTAAAGTTGCTGTATCCAGCCACAACTTCATGGTCATCTGATCAGAGAGGGATTTAAAAAGACAATCTTGGTTCCACAAACCTACTCATTTTCATCTCAGTGTATTAAAAATCCTATCAGTCCTGCTCTGTTCTGCACCTGGGGATTAACTGCAAACCTCTCTTTACTGCATATGCAAAATTCCTTTCTTCCAGTAAGTTCAAATACCAATAACAACTGTTACTGACAAGAGAAGTTGGATATCTATGAAAATAATGCATGAAAGTAAGTAGAAATTTGATACCTGTAACAAAAGTGTGAGGATTACACATCTGGACAGGCTACATTTACATCAAGCCACATCTTCAAATGAGTAGAAAATCTAGCAAGAAAAGTACCTTATAACCTGCTTTTGTTAGCATTGTAATGGCACGGCGACACATCATGAACTACATCTCAGGATGTGTTTTATCTCCATTTTTGGGCAACAGGCAGAAGCAATGAAGTTTATTCACCTTTTTCTCGGTCGTTAGGCATCTCCAATGAGAAAGCAACCCGCTACTGGATAAAGCAATAAGTTCATTTTGTTTTGCGACACACACTTGCTTTTTAGATTTCACATTATTATTTCTATCTCATCGCTGCTTAGGAGACCACAGTCTATACAGAAGACCGCTAAATCTGATTACATCTTGAGGCCTCACATGTGACTTCAATGCAAGACCAGTGCAGTCCCACCTTTTAGAAAAATTGTTTGACAAGTCACCCAGACAGTTTGCTATTGATGCTTTAAAAACAACAGTGCTTAATCTAAATTTGTCTTACACATGCTCTATTAATTCCTTTGCTGTACACCTCTTGAACAAGACAGAGCCTCAGAGAAGCATCAGAGAATGGCCCCAGCAGCAGAAGCACATTAACCCCCACACAACTGCTGCATTTCAGTACACGTCATTTCACTGGAAGACATGAAAGGTGCTGCTACATATATAGATATTTTGAGAGAGTACAGTCTTGAGGGAATGGAAACAGCAGATGGTTTAAGACTGAACTTAGTCAAGATCAAAGAGAACACAGGTCATTTCAGGACAAAGACGCCATTAATCTGTTAAAGCGGGGAGGGAGGCAGGAAAGCACCTCAGCCTCTGCCTTTAGCATCAGCTGACAAATTTGATCACGTTTTTTATTGTGTAATCACAGCGGATAGGCTTGCCAACAGCAGACCAGCAGCTGCCTACCCTTCTTCCTCTGCTACACGTGGGTATGCCACTCCCAGAGGCAGCTAGCGACCACATTTTAGACTCATTCTGTGTATTGCATGCCTGCTGAAGGAAAGAAAGAAAGCAGAGGGCTCTGTACGGTAGAACTGACATACAAGTCTCTGTACTGGTCAAAGGCATTGTTGGCTTCCACCTCCAGCTTGCGCAGGCGAGCAGATGGCATGGCACCGTCTTCCAGGGGAGGATCGTATTTGTTACTCCATGGTGATCTGCCAAAGAGACGAGGAAAATAGAGACAGTTAGAAAACCAAGACAAACTCGGAAAGGTTTGAGATTGGCGGGTCTGGCCTGATCCACAGACTCTGAACTTCCAAAAAAAATCTCAGTACCAAAAGCCATCTATCTGTAAAAATATCACCCTAAACAGCCATTTTAAACACTGACAAAAGGGGGACACTGACTCAAACTTTACAGTGTACCTGAGGAACACTCCCTGCATTCAGCTTTCTATATATAAATAATCATGCTCGGGTTTGAATCTGTTCCTTCTTAATTACTCAAAAATGAAGCCTCAGCTGTTGCACATTAGATATTTAAAGTTATTTTCATGCAAATACAAATAGATTATGTAGTTTGTTTGGGATTTCACAGTATTTGAGCCAAACACTGCTGTCTGCACTTAAGGTTCAAATTCTCCTCCACTATTTTCCTTTGAAATAAACTCTACTTTTAGCATAACATTAGGAAAACATATGAACAGTTTGAAGGATTTAACAGGGTTTGTAAAGCTGCAGGTTTTACTATGATTTCTGCAGGTGTGAAAGACTTTTGTGCTCTTAATGAAAGATTTGGTATTAAAAGGTTAATGGAACCCCATGCCCATCTGCTTGAGACTTTTATAATTCCCAATCTGTAAACCTGCATTCTCCTTTTCATTTCCCCTGGGAATAACTAACCCACTGCTAGTTTAAAGAAAGGTACCTCTACCCTCTCCCTGTTCAATTTTAAAGATACTCCAGCCTACTAACACTAGGTCCTAATGCAGTCCATACGTAAGGGCTTTTTCCTCAGTAGCCATTTGTTATTAATTTCTCAGAAAGGCAGCTAGTTTTGACATCTGTTTAATGCAAAGCACAAAGCACAGGCTCTGCTCCGCTCTGGCTTTGCGCTTTCACAACACTTCACTCCTCCCCACTACATCTGACTCAAAAGGTGAGACACCAGGAAAAGCTAAATCATTATGTCACATCCACCCGGAGCAATGTTTTTCAGGTGGTGGTTCTCATTTTAAAAACAGTTGCTTAAAACTCAGTTGTTTTGGAGTCAACAGCTACAGTAGTGCTCCTTTACTTAACAGCTCTCCAAAATCTGGGAAGGATTCACACAAAAGTCACCACCAGTGCTGTCTGCGGGATTCCCCCATGGCACACCTACACCCGTCGGGCAGCACACACAAAACCGAACAACACCGCAGAAGTTCAGGCAGACAGAGCACTGACCTTGCTATCACAAAGCCTGCAAGAGCCAAGCCAGGGCTGCTCTGCCTGGCAGTGCAGAGGCGTACTGCCACCTTAGCAGCAGCATCCATTAGGATGCACTTAGTTTTACTTTCTCTACTAAATTTTAAAAGGCAGATTCCAAACAAAATTTTACTGGTTTCTGTAAATTCAGACCACTGTGCTTCTCCATCACGTCCAAGGAAACCGGTGAGCACAGAACCCACGCAGAAGTCACAGTCGAGATACTTTAACTGTAAACATTAGATGTCTTGCAGGCTGCAGGAAAGGGATTTAAGGGAAGCCCAGCAACATGGATTTTTCTAGCTAGCAGATTGTGGCATTTTCAGCCCATTACAGTTGGAGCCAGCAAGCAACTTCACCTAAAAAAAAAACCCTCATAACACAACCCCGTGTTTTTTTTTCTTTTTGTGGAAGGGTACTCACAACACATTTAAAAACTTAAATGGAGGCTATTTGAAGAAAGACAGACGGACAAGCACTTAAATTTCAAAAGTCAGACCTCTAATTTCCCTAAAAGTGAATGTTTTTTGTTTCAGCTAACAGGTTTCAGTGTTGTTGGCAACAAATTCCCCATAAGGATTCCATTTAATAAAGTGATCAAACATACTTAGAGTGGAAATGTATGGACAAAGTCAGGGACCTTGAAGTCTTACATATATATTAAAAAAAATAAATTAATAAAAGCTCTGCCTTCACAATGTGGATTCCATGGCTGTCTGACATCCTCCACAAACCTTTGTTATTATAGGAGCACTCGCAGAAGCGTCTGCGAGACTACGCGCACAAAAGGCTGCTCCCACAAACAGCAGTGCAGTAAGATGAAGAAACTGAAAATTATCTATTTATGAAGACCCAAGAGAGACTCCAAAAATCTACCTTCTGCTCTGACCCATGTCTGACATGGAGAAAATCAAGGCTGTCTAAATATGAGGAAGGAGTAAGCTGTGATGGGCTAAGCATCAGGATGTTCATTTCCCTGTGTGATGCCCCATGAGCACTGGCGGAGTTATCACCTGAATGGCCAAACATCCCGCAGCAGTTTTTTTTCAAAGCTAACTCCCAGGCAAATTGTAAAGCCACTCAAAAAAACCCTATAAAACTTGATTTGCAGTGAGAAAGTCTGACTACCTAACTCCACCTTTCCTGACAAAGTAGCATGAGGCTCAGTTGTCCGCAGAATGCCTTGAAATCCTTGGATTAGTATTAAAAGAAATGCAATTAGCAGCCTCCCCAATAAGAAGAAAACTGGTGTTTTAAGTGCGCAGTAATTGGGGACATAGCATGTCGCAGGCGGGGAACAGTATTTCTCGGGACTTCTAATTGAGCGGGTGGTTCTGAAAAATCTTTGTGGAAATATCAAAAGCTTTTAAAAGCACAGTAAACTCCTCCTAGATTTTGGCCTAATTGATTAAATTAGTGTAAGAGCCACTTCCCATAACAACTTCAGATTTTATGAGGTATGAATAACAGTGTCTGAACACAGGCACAGAATGGGATTAACACACGCACATGTTAGTATCGCTTGGTTTTCAAAGGCTTTTGCTTTGTGCCTAGGAAAGAATTTACTTCACGAAACAGAGCTGAGACCAATCAATTCCAGAAGGAAGAATCACTTCAATCCAGAATGCTTGAATCAAAAGCCTTAAAGAAAAGCATTCTTTAATGCCAGCAATTAATACATTACGCCTATTCTATACGAACAAATGAAATAGCTTTTCTGAAACCTCATTACCTAATAAGTCCTGAAAATTTCAAAGCAATTTAAAAAACAGAAGCCCTGCTCCTTCCTTGTAACTATTTAAGTATCTTCTCAGAACGCAAGCGATTGAGCACATTTCAGAGGCAAGCATGAAACAAACCTGAACGGAAGGGCTGCTGCGTGCACTAACGAAACGCGGAGGGGCAGGGGGGACCAAGCGTTGTCAGCTATTGCAGCACGTCACAAGACTGTTTAACAAGTGCCTTTTCAAGTTTCCTGTGTCTCCGGTGACCGATGCTCATGTCAACAGCCTGAATAGAATGGGACTGCAAGAAGTGTATCACGACTTTGGCGAGGAAGCATCTCTTGAAGGACCCACAAGAAATACAGGATCTAACCCCTTCTCTTGCATCTGCCAGAGAGGATACAGCTGCGCAAGTACATCTTGTGGAGGGCAGAAGCTAAAAAACTCTTATCGTAGCTACTACTGATTAAATGCATGTAGCTGCTAACGTAGATCTGACCAACTCAGGCATATTGGCTGAATGCACAAATGCTTTGAAAAGGCACCAGGCTCTTCTGTAGAAGGTTGAACAAACTTTCCGTGTTGGACTAGTACCCTAAAAACATGAGTGAACACTTCACCTTAGCGACCTTCTTACTTCTTGGCCCACTGCAACAGGTTATATTTACAAAACCTCATTAACATTTACACTCAGCCACAACCCAGAAGCACTGTCAAACCCTGCATCCATTATCAGTCTCCTCCTCCTATTTCTAGGACAAAATGAACCTCAGCATGTTCCCGGTGCAAATCATCTACAGACAGATATGCTTTCAGTTTAGAGAAGTACCTTTCCTGCAGCTCAAAGCAATTGAAACCAATCAATCTAAATCCTTCATAAGTGTACCTGCTTCTGCAATGATGGCCTGGAAAAAAAAGTGTTAAAATATCTTCTGGAATTCCACTTTGAAATAGAATTCTTAAAACATTCTGGCCAGATGAATGTAAAACACTAGTGCAAATCTGGACAAAGCAAAGCTGGATTCTTACCGTAGATCAGTTCCAATTGCTAGTGCTAACAATGTAAGCTATTACACTGACGCTACAAGGAGGTAGCCCTCATAATCACAACCAGAAGCAGCAGATTGGCTGAGCTGTTAACTCAAGACAGAAGACGAACGAGGGTCATTACTTCACAGCCTAGCACCCTTCGTTAAGAGAAAAGAATAAAAGCTAGCTGATGCAATATTCACTAAGGTTTCTGGACTATAAGCTTCGTGATTCTTCATTAAATATTTGGAACTATGCCACTGCCACTACAGCCATTAAGAAAAGTCTGGCAAAAAAAAAAAAAAAGGGGGGGGGGAGGGGGAATCACTCAGCAAATAGTTGAGTGATTACAGTCGTTGAACTGTAATCCTAATGGCAAGGTATAGAATAAAAACATTAAAAGAGAGGCTGCGTTCAAAGTGGCATTCCAGTATTACAGCCCCTTCTACTTCAAAATTCATTATATTATAATTACATACAGCTTATGCTGTTTAAATATTTTCATTGTTTTTGTCTACAGTCCTCAGAATAAATTGGCTGTTTTAGTAGAGAGGGATTCCTTTCCCTTGCTAAAAGCTTGGACCAAGATTTTCATACAGAACTAATGACATGGCATGTCCAAAGTCAGACTCTAGCCCTTGCAAAACATGAGTGAAAGAGCCTTTCCCAGCTGGGAAGTCTACCCTGTTTTGTACAAGCAGAAGATGATTTTGTTTAAACCAACTGCTTGCATCACCTCTTTTCTGTTGTTATCCATTCCAGAGATATTACAACCTTGAAACAATAGATAATTTCATGCCAAGGCCATCACAGTCATTTCTTCTAGAAATCCAACTGGTTTTAATTTGCTAAGGTACAACTGTACTGCAGAAAACCTAAGAGAAATGTGTTAGTCACCCCTTTAACAAGATAACAACAGCACATTTTAGGCTTCAATGAATGACTGCAAATCACAGTAAAGAAAATGTGCAGAAACACTGTGGTTTCTAGGAAAAAACACATCTTGTTCCGGAGACAGACAGTGGGGACCTGCCTTGCAAAGGTCATCAGAATTAGCAGCCATACAACCACGTTATCTGAAACTGAAGCACTCCACAGCGGTCTGGAGAAGATGATGTTTATGCTCTTTCACATTAGGGAAATACTAAGAACTTCCATAGCAGATATGATGAGCATGTGAAACAGTCCCAGCTTCATCATCGAAAAGAGTTTAATATCATTACGTTTCTTTTTGTGGCTAAGAATAAGCAGAAGGGACTGCAATACTTGTACGTAGCTCTCATTTACAAAGCAAGCCAGTTAGTGCCTTGCTTCGGACATGAACTCACCTATATGAGTCTCCATCTCTGTTGTAGTCACACAATAGATAGTCTTTTCCTACCACCTTGTCTCGTGCAATCTTCAACGGCTGATCAACAGAGGAGAGGAGATCTTCACAGAGGCTTGGGACCTGACGGTTTGGAGAAAAAAAAAAAACAAACAGGGAGGGAAGAGAGGGTAACACATTAAGGTTAAAAGAGACTGGCATACCTAAGAACAGATTTTGTTATTAATAGCCCACATCTGTCCCAAAGCCAGAAACCCTTTAAAAAAAAAAACAAAGCAAGCTGCACTTAAGTTACAACACAATCCTATGCTCCCACCTCCAATAATTTCAGATTTAATTACCTAACCACACGTGTGGTCCAGTACACTTAAATATATACATTCTCAATGTTCACTTCTTGCCAAAGACGGCCAGTAAAGTGATTGTCAAGGGCTGATGAATAAAGGTAAATATTTATAATGGAGTGGAAACGAGGGAGCTGCTAAAAGAATACGCCATCCATACGCTAGAGCGTACTTTTCACAAGATCCCACTCTGGGTAGAGTTTAGAATAGTTTCCAGGCAGCTGGCCAAACATTACCACGTTGGCTAATAAAAATACGCGTGTGTCTGTGTGCATGCACATATAAAATCAAAGACATCTCCTACACAGGTAGCTTTTAATGGATTCATAATCCCAGCTGTCCCCCTACACATCACGTGGAGAAAGACTACAAGATCTGCTTTTAATGTGGCAGAGAGGCTTTGATGTACTGCAAGGGGATGAGATGACATTTTCAGCCTGAAGCTAGCGTGGATGCAAGCACAAGCAAATTCCATCCCACAGCCTCTTGTTCTGGGGCCAACGACGGCCCTGTTATCAGTATCAATATTCCTATACTGGCTTTGGCCACACTAGCAGCTTCCTCCAGGAACTCCATCAACCCTGCAGATACTTCAGGGCACGTCCAGCAGTGTGCCCCAATCCACCTCCACTCCTGGAGCCATTATTGAACAATTAACATATCGCGTGCTTCCCTTGGGAAAAGCTTTCCAGATTTCCCCCCAAGGAAAAGGGACTGAAGTGAAATAGTTTGTCAACAAAAAGTTGGGAATGCAACAGGACACAAGACAATTTGTAAGTTATGAATATACTGATGACAACAAGCTAGTACAGAAGATAAATAACCAATGTGAAATCTCTGCGGCATTTCATTCTACATTGCAGAGATGAAAACCTGATTGAGAACATGAAGACAAAAGGCAATCCAGGGAAAAATTAGTCATGAAGTGATGAATTCACAACTCTTAAGAAATGAAAAGAGAAGGGAGGAAGGAATAAAGAAAATATGGAAATGTGCTTTCTTCTCTTCAAGCCACTGATTCAGTGAACTGATTGGTATGATTTAAACGGAATGAAGCCTAGAGGGGGAAAAAAACAAGCTGGGATGCAACAGCTCCCGAAAGCACAAGCACAAACTATTTTAATGCACTAGATGTGACATAAGAGATCAAACTGCCCAAAATAAAAACATTCCTAATCCCAAGTACAAGGCAGTAACATACAGAGGATATTAAGTCAAAGTAAGCAGGGACAAATATAAAACATGACCACAAGAGACCAGAACACCCATAAAGGCCAAAAGACAAAACAAGACGTGACTAGCAAGAGATGCAACACCTAATCCACACAATCACCCCGTAAACACACAAAAAAGAGGAAAAAATCAATAAATAGCTGGTAAAGTTACCAACAGTGCTGAAATGTTAGTTTGGTGGTTTTTACTTTGGTCTATATAATGGTAATTAGGGATAACTGAAGAGTCCAGATTAAAGAGCAGGGCAGATAAATATTTATATAAAGCTTCACGCTTCTCATAGGAGCTCATCATTTGATACTTGGAGACCTGGCTGAAACAACCTCAAAACCATTACGCATTCACTGAGTGTATAAAAAGTGGACAAGAAGCAAGCAGCTTTCAGGAAAAACTTTACTTTTTCTGAAAACAGACAACCCTAATACTCCACGGAGCTGATACAAATCAGCAGCGTCGCGGCCCAAGTTCAGTGAAATGATGTATCTGTGTTCATGAGCCCATCTGGTTCTACTTTGTCTCTTCCTTCGCTTCTCCATTAGCTATTAATTTTAGGCTGACTCTTCAGGCGGAGAGCAACTTGAGACAACTGCTTCAATTTTGGATGCACACATAACAAGACCCGAAGCACCTCATCACGAAGAGCTATGCTCCGGGTTGGTCCTGGGAGTGACCAGCTGAATATATTCCTTCCTCTCAGCGGCTCCTTGGCCTGCTGCCCATCAGCAGAGAGATAAGCGTCTAAGAACAGACTCCTCACTCTGACGTGCGTTTAGAATGAGTAACAGTGATGAAAACACAACTCAGAGAGAAGTGGCGTTCTTCCCAGACTCTGTTTCTATCTCATTTCTTTGGGAAAAGCCCTATGCTACACAGGCGGTAACCGAGCACAAGAGATCTCGCTGCACGGTTCTTCAGACTCAAATATAGGTACAAAGCATTTTCAAAAGAAACCCCAAACTCAAGACAGAGTCAATTCCCTTGTAGAAAAGCTCCTGATAACCATCCAAATTTACAACCCTTACAAAAAGCCACACAAATAACTTCTAGATCTAACTTTCTTTTAAAAATAGCACATGCCTAGTGTGGCGTTTCCGTACTGCCCAGTGGGAAAGCACAATCTTTTATTGACTAGAAGGAACTCTTAACAGATTGTTTTTAAGATGCAATCTATTTAATTTCCATGTAGAAACAGTGAACTAAACTTACCTCTGGATGATTTGGTAACACAGATATTTACAAGCACGATCATTTTTCCAATTTTTAAAAGGTGTGCCTAGGCTTACAGCCATAACAATGAATGCATTATATCACATACTTACTAGAATATAATACTACACTATATCATAATACTCCATTGCGATAGCCTGCTATGTATCCATTGTCTCTTTGGTACAGACACTCTACAGAACTTCAGGCAATATATTCTTTCCTCCCTCTTTCAGAATAAAACAGGGAAGAAAGCCCACTGATCTATTTCAGAAGTATCAGAAAATTTCAGCAGTCTTTCTGAAAAGAACAGAGACATTCCAGCTGATGGACCTACTCATGTAATTCTAATTACCAGAAAAACAACCAAGTGTGGCATAGTTACCCCAAGAGAACCATTTTTGTATCATTTATTACATCAACTTTCAACAGCTGCTGTACTTCCTTTCTAAGAATGAATTTCAAAGATTTATGTGTACTGGCCTTCCTTTGCTCCATTACAAAGCTGCTTACCAGGCAAACGCAGGAATTTGAACGAGGTAATTTGCAGCTTTAAATACTTCAGCTACCTGTTCATGAGACTATTTGATTCCTTCTGAATTTAGGCCCTTTGCATTTTAGAACACGCAAAGACAAGGCATCCGGCACAGCCAGGCTAAGCTGGCTGCTGCAATGTAAGCACTGTGGAATTATTTTACACTATGCATACAGCTTTCCTTAAATTCTTCATGTCAAGCATTAAACCATCCTAAAGTATTTAAATTACTTTTGGGCACATTCAGACTCTCGTAGAACGAAGTTTATATTTAGCAAGAAAACATAAATATCTTCTGACCCCAGCAAAGACAACTCCGCTTAGAAGACCAACTGACCCTCTGAGTTTTCAGTCTCAAACAGTGTATTTGCACTGTTAACGTTTCTTATTAGCTTGTTCTGTGTTAACTGGAAAGCCAGAACGCACTTAGGAGCCCGCGTGCATGTCTCCAACAATCATTATATAGGGAATTTTGATTTGAATTCAGAAACGCAAGAATTAACCCACTCCCCAGGCAAAACACTGAAATGCCAAAGCAGTCATTTCGTTCAATTCATCACTGCACTATAAATAATTGTCACTGTGATGAAAACATTGAAGCTATGAGGATTGTTTTATAAGCTAAGACAGGGCTCCCATCTTTATTTTCACACAAGTTTTTCCCACTCTAAGCACGGGAAGGTCAAATGCAGAATACAAGCTTAACCTTGCACCTTTAGCTAAAGGCCATCCTTACTTTAATTTGGTCCACGGCGTACTCTGGACCCTAACACACCCGTGTTTCCACAAATAAGCACTCAGTCGTCTATTATGGTGGTTGTATGCATAGTCATTGAGCAAGACCACCCTCAATGTAAATTAGAAAAGAAAAAAAAGAGCGGAGTCTCAGGGGGTCCAGACTCAGCTGTTCAGCCTGGAACTGAACAGCAGCATCATTCAGAAGCACATACCATGCAACAGAGCACTGCCTTTGTGGGATTTTTTTTTCCAAGGAGATATACAATGAAGGTGTAGTACAGAGGAAAGAAAAACTGAATGAAAAGTGAGTTAAGCATACTCTCCTGCATGTTGAACAAGGATTCTGTTGTCTCGTGTAACAGTATTCTCCATCAGAGCAAGCCAGGTATGTGGACAGTGTTTTAATTAAGTCAACTGCTCTGCTATCAAGACAAATAATCACTTGTGCCAAAGTCGAAACCGTACACTTTTTGGAGCAGCTAAGCTAATAATCATTCCTTCTTGACTCACTTTTTGGTAAAGGAGCTTATTATCAACTAAACAATTGTTTCTGCTTTTTTCTTTTTTCTTTTTTTTCCCCTCCAAATATGATTAAACAAGCTTCCAAAAAAGGTTACAGGAAATAAGAAAAGTACTTCAGCTCTCCATGTCTTAAATGCCTTGCTTTGATCATGGCTCAATTACATCAAATTCTGCACCCTACATATTCAGGACAGTTAATATTTTGGCTTACTAGCATATTTAAGTTGCATGGCTAAGTTGGTTGTTTTCTTCTACAGCCTTGACTGAAATGAATCATGCTTACAGTTGAAACAGCAATATTGTCTGTGTAAAGTTCTGGACTTGGAAACAGACTTTTTCCATGTTTATTCAGAGGTCAGCGTGTACTGACCTCCACAGCAACCTTATACACTGGAAAACTATGCTAAATGCAGAAAAATTGAAGATGAAACACATTTTTCCTTAAGTACCAGAAGGAAGATGAAGCGAGCTTCAAACGATTAGCAAAGGCAGCACTCGGATCCATTTATGGTTTGAATTTGTGTCTCTAACATGCAGGTATCTGA